CCAGGCAGGACAGAAAACCTTCCTGCATCCCCGGAGAGGAGCTGCAAGAACCAGCATGGGATTTTTATATGGACGGATAAGTCGTTGGTTAAGTCACTGTTCCGCCAGGCAGGACAGAAAACCTTCCTGCACCCCCAGAGAGGAGCTGCAAGAACCAGCATGAGATTTTTATACGGGACGGAAGAGTCGTTGGTTAAGTCACAATTCTCTTACCTAAACATACTCTGTCCTTCCTCTCAGCAAAAGTGAAAATGTAGTAGAGAGGAGAAATGGAAACTGCAGACCCAAGCACTGGCAAAAAGCTGCTAATAGCATATGGAGACTGAAAATAACTGGCTGGACACTACTTTCTCCATGTGCAACTAAATCATGCCTTAAAAGCAAACACCTAATGAGAAAATGCATGGAAAAACACATGGAGGAGAATACAATTAATGATCACTTTACGTTGCCCTCCTGAGCCACCAGAGCCAGCAATAAATTACTGCACCCCCCACTCTTCCAGGCTAAATAAATCTACTACCTTCTATCTGTGGGAAGATGTTTACGACAGAGGGACATTTATATGTGCAGATTCATGCTGATTTAGCTCAAGCTGGGTGGTTTGTGCCAGCAGCACTAAATCACTGCAATCAATTCCCCTCTATTTTTTTTTTAGTGATTTATATCAATTCAGCATAAGGCAATTTCCTCTTGGCAGGAAGATGAACTGAGGTGAGCCTTTCCATCAGCAGCAAAGGCACCTAACATAGAACAGCTTTCCCAGGGATGCTGCTGTTTCTTCTGAGCTGGTGGGCTGTGCTTCTTTGTCATATCATGCATTTCCCTCAAAAGCAGTGAAGCAAACTGACTGTTGGCATTGTTAAATCTTCATCCTCCTCCCCATCCCACCATGTAAACCATATAAAAAATTAAAAGCACAGAGAAACGCCAGTTAATCCTACAGTACACTGTCCTCATGGATGAGAGAGAGAAATTCTGAAGAGGAACCAAGTATAACAGATCTATTTAGAGTTCAGTGGAAAATGAGGTGGAGGAAGACACGAAAAATAAAATAAAATAAAAACACTGGAGTGTCCATAAAGGAGGGAAGGTGGAAGGATAGAGCAGAGAAGCAGCCAGAGTGGAACAAATAAACATGATGCTCAATAAGAATGAGAAGCTAGAAAGGAGATTTCACATGCAAAATTAAAACACAGTGCAATAAGGGAGTATTCAGATCACCTTATCACCTTTCAGTCCATGTTCTCCAGGGTTTCCCATCAGCCCCTAAAACAGAAGCAAGCGCGGAGTGAGATCTTCAGTCTCATTGTGGACAGCCAAGAACACACAAGATCCAGATATTCTCTCACCTTTAAGCCTTTTGGTCCTGGATAGCCTATAGGTCCAACAGAGCCCATGTCACCCTAGTAAGAGAAAGAAAACCCTAGTTGTTAGGTGCAAAACTAACTCATACCCTTACGTGTTACGTCCCTCTTCCACTATTTGCAAAATAAGACTATCGATCCAGTTTAAGAAAATCCTGGAGAACATTTACTCAATCTGACGTTGCTCATCTCTTCAAAGGATTCACCACAGCGTGCCCTAATTCTCAGGTGAGAGTTTGAGAATGTGCTAAGGAAAAACAAAAAAGGGTATATCCAAAGAGCAAAGATGGCAACACTCAAGGTATTTGAGATGTAACCCAGCTCTGATATACAAAAAGAGGGGAAAGAGAGAGGAAAGGACACAGAGATGACTCCATAGCTTGGTCATTTGCTGCAGAGAGAAGGCAGAATGCCACGATGTCTGAAGACCTGGATGAAAAACTGCACCACAGAGGGACAGAGTTTGTGTTTTCTCTGAGGCTGCATATGCAGATATAAAAGAAAGCCTTCAACTGGCTACGTTTAAACAGGCTTTGCTTGCTGTCTCCCCATGAAGGCAGTCAGTGATACGGCGCCCGCGGTGTGTAAACAAGCAGGAGCTTGGCTGGACGGGCGCCCTCCTCGCAGGCGCTCACGTGGCCGCGGCCGCACGGCGAGTGCCGAGCTGTGGCTGTGCTAACAGACGCCCTTTTCATACCTCCCGGCATAAAGGCTTCTTGTAGACACACGTTTACTTAAAGCTTTGCCCGCACAGTTAATTAGGAGAGCAAGAGGCTTGAGTTACATCTAATTCTGCTCTTCGGCCCCTTTTCTGCAGCCAGCGCCAGCACCTGCAGGGCGCGTGGAGGCAGCGGGAAGCCAGGCTGGTCCCCGGGGGTGGCTGGAGCTGTGAGGGAAGGAAGCGGCCGAACGGAGGCCAGCCTGGAGCAAACCCAGGGGCTGCCACCTCTGTGTCCTCCCCCAGCGCTCCCAGCCCCGGGGAAGGCAGGTGGCAGGTCCCTGTGCTGCAGAGAGAGGAGAAGGCAGGATGGGGTTGCTCCATCCTTCTGAGGATGGGAGGAGGGAGGTCATGGCACTAACTAGTCCAGCTAGGAGAAGACCAGCAGTCTCCAACTGCATCCTTGCTGAAAAGCATCCTAGTAACACTGACAGGCTCTAAGCTTTTACCTTCTAGCACGTATCACTAAGATAACAGCAACCAGGTTATGCTAATTCTCCTTGAGGATTGGGATTAACATGACTTGATATGGACAATAGCTTCCACTACATTCTTTTGAATGGGACCATAGAGGCCTTGATAAATGAGTTAACAGATATGCCTATTACTTAAATTATGAAAAAGCCAAAGATGATGGATTTCAACAATTCACTGCCAGTCAAATTTTCACAGGTTATCACTAAGAGGAATCATTTAAAAAAAAATGTGTTAGCACCATCACAGCCTATTCCTTCTTGTGCATAGAAGAGGATAACTTGAAAAGTCTCAAGCACTGGAAGAGAACACGGCCACTAACCCACAGCACAGCTGCCTAGGGAGCAGTTGCTGCCCACGACCATTTATAATCCTTACAGCCACTTATGTGCTGCTGAGCAAGGACAGAGCGAAGAACAGAACCAAGGGTGGAATTTGGCTGTGTCTCTAATTACCCGGATTAGTGACGGGATGGGGAGAGCACATACAAAATTCCTGCATACCCAGAGGATGGGCTGCTAATGCACTCCTGCACATGGTCCTTCCCATGAGCAAGAGGCCTAAAGTACTTCTTACAATAAGCTGTTTTTTAGGAGATGACGGGTCCTGGGGTGGAAGAAACACTGCATCCTGGCCAATCTTATCAGCAGAGCAATTATCAAAGAAAACGGGCACTAACAGCAAATCCTTAATCTACTTGCTTTTGCTTCAATGGGGTTTGCCCTTCTGCACCTCCCAGGTGCATTGGGCACCCTCCCAGGTCCATTGGGCACCCTCCTCTCCCCCAGTCATGGCTTTAGCCACCCTCCTCCGTATGGATAGAGTCATCATATTCACTGCCCTCTCCCAGGAAGGAGAAAATCTGCACGTAGCTCTGCGCAATGAAGGGGTTAACGGCCCGAGAAGCCACACTCCATTTGTTTTTGTACTTACAATGAGTCCAAGGACTCCAGGAGGACCCGGGGCTCCCAATTCTCCCTAAAAGGAAAGACAGACCAACACAGTTACGGACTCTTTGTAGGCAAACAGAGGCTGAAAGGCAGCTCAGTGTTTCAAGGCTGGAGGGCAGGGAAAAGCCCAGCCCTCCCCCTTCCGCTCCCCTCCAGTCCCTTCCCGTATCCCGAGCGATGCTGAGCCTGGCTCTTGGAGCGTGTGCTCCGGGAGGAGGCACCCGGACACAGGCTGCTTCTTGTTCTGCACCTCCTGGCAGGACTGACCCCCCTTCCCAGGGGCAGGCTGCGTAAAAGGAGCATTTCACTGCGTGCAGGGGGAGGCAGCGCGAGAGCCAGCCCCAGCCGAGAGGAAGGTGCAGGGAGGGCAGCGGAGATGGGCAAGTGGCAGGGACTGCGACAGCAAAGCTCAACAGGAAAGAGGGGCAAGATCTGCTTTATGGGGGGAAAGGGGAGTTCTGGGGAGTATTTCAGAAGCAATAAAATGAAAAGCCGGACACAGCTTCATGGCTTTGTGCACATACCCCTACCTGCTCCTGCACAGGGACACTGGGAAGAAAGCCAGCTGCCATGGCCTACCTTGTCCCCTTGCCAAAGCCATAAACTAGTCATTTCTTTCATTAAAAAAAAAAGATAAAAAGAAAAAAAAGCCTCTGGACTGCAGCTTGTCCATGGGGCAATGGCTCTGCACCTCTATTGCTAGAGCAGGGAGCTTGCCAGCTGCTTGTTGTTTTTTATCATACCGCAAAGGGC